GGGCAACCTTTTCTTGTTCCTGATCTTAGTGGAAATGCTTTCAGTTTTTCACCATTGAGGACAATGTTGACTATGGGTTTGTCATATATGGCCTTTATTATGTTGAGGAAACTTCCCTCTATGCCTACTTTCCTGAGGGTTTTTATCATAAATCAGTGTTGAATTTTGTCTAAAGCTTTCTCTGCATCTATTGAGATGATCATATGGTTTTTCTCCTTCAATTTGTTAATATGGTGTATCACGTTGATTGATTTGCATATATTGAAGAATCCTTGCATTCCTGGAATAAACCCCACTTGATCATGGTGTATGATCCGTTTAATGTGCTGTTGGATTCTGTTTGCTAGTATTTTGTTGAGGATTTTTGCATCTGTGTTCATCAGTGATATTGGCCTGTAGTTTTCTTTCTCTGTGACATCCTTGTCTGGTTTTGGTATCAGGGTGATGGTGGCCTTGTAGAATGAGTTTGGAAGTGTTCCTCCCTCTGCTCTATTTTGGAAGAGTTTGAGAAGGATAAGTGTTAACTCATCTCTAAATGTTTGATAGAATTCACCTGTGAAGCCTTCTGGTCCTGGGCTTTTGTTTGTTGGGAGATTTTTAATCACAGTTTCAACTTCAGTGCTTGTGATTGGTCTGTTCATATTTTCTGTTTCTTCCTGATTCAGTCTTGGCAGGTTGTGCCTTTCTAAGAATTTGTCCATTTCTTCCAGGTTGTTCATTTTATTGGCATAGAGTTGCTTGTAGTAATCTCTCATGATCTTTTGTATTTCTGCAGTGTCAGTTGTTACTTCTCCTTTTTCATTTCTAATTCTGCTGATTTGAGTCATCTCCCTTTTTTTCTTGATGAGTCTGGCTAATGGTTTATCAATTTTGTTTATCTTCTCAAAGAACCAGCTTTTAGTTTTATTGATCTTTGCTATCGTTTCTTTGCTATCGTTTCCTTCATTTCTTTTTCATTTATTTCTGATCTGATTTTTATGATTTCTTTCCTTCTGCTAAGTTTGGGGTTTTTTTGTTCTTTCTCTAATTGCTTTAGGTGCAAGGTTAGGTTGTTTATTCGAGATGTTTCCTGTTTCTTAAGGTAGGATTCTGTTGCTATAAACTTCCCTCTTAGAACTGCTTTTGCTGCATCCCAACACAGGCTTTCAAAAGCCTTCAGTTGCGGTATTTCAAGGGCTCTTTAAATTTGATATGCTGTGCCTTAAGTCAAGGAATTCCTTAAGTCAAGGAATGAGAGTTTCTCTTTATGAATATGAAGAACGTTTTTCATCTTAAAGTCTCAACCCAACCTTAAAACTTTGGTGACTCTTTTTGTAACAATGCAGAGAAGAGAGTCACTGGAACCTCACACAACACTTCCAGCCTAGGGCACGGCCTAGGTTCACGTTCGTTGTATACTCTGCATCCTATCTTGTTCTTGAATGATCATCTCTTCAGTTGCCTCCATAACTTATAAGCTAATTGAGTGCTTGGGGTCATGTTTTATAGTTTTTCTCCCTGCTGTGCTTGGCTTTGTTCTAAGAATGTGTTAGGTACTTTGATATGAGATTGCTTGATTGCTTACTTGAAAAGCGTGGCCTTCAGGAGCACCAGATTATCCAAATTCTAGGTTGGAATGAAACTTTAAAATCATGACTGTATAGTTCACTCTGAAAGAAGAGGATTCAGAAGTGTTGTGGTCCATTTCCCTCCCTCCCCCAACACGCAAACCACAGCACCAAGATGAAACCATTTGGCAATGAATTATCTCCGAAGACTCGGGGTCTATCATAACCACAGGAAATCAATCAATCAATCAGTCTCTCCTCTCACCCCCTTTACTTCTTTTCTCTCTTTCTGGATTATGAACTGACAAAAATGTAGAGCAAAAGTATACTCTTAGTATACTAAAAATCATTAGTTTAGTTTACATTAGTTAGTTTAAACATTATTAGTTTAATGTACCCTAAGCAGTGAGAAAGTAAAAACATGATGTTATATTTCCCTGTAGCTCTCTTCCGCCTCTTAAATTATGTTTTACTTCAGACTCTTAATTAACTTTGACAAGTAAAAAGTTTCTCTACCTTTTGTAAATAAACTTTAAGCATAACAGTTAGTTTATATCCTACCATGTCATTAGATTAAATGAGCTGTGGAAAACCTTTGTCTGCTGCTGTGTATTTTTTTCTCGTTAGGAAGACACAGCTCAAGGACTTACATGAAGTTCCTTCACCATATAAACCTTCAAAAACTGTCTGGACCAATAGTTAGCTGAAGCTCGTAAGATTTTTTTCTTTTTTTTTTCCCTGATGGCCTTACCAATATTTAGAGACATTGTTACTAAAAAAAAAAAAAAAATCACACAGTGATTTTAAACAGTAAAAAAAATTAGAAGCAACCTAAATGCCCAATATTAGAAGACCAATTAAGTATAGAGCGTACAATACAATGGACTCTTATATAGTTAATGATGGTGGTATAAAGTCATGTTTGTTGAAGTGAGAGGTATCAGTGATGTACGCCATCGAGTGCGGGAAAAACAAGGAGGTGAATAACATGGAGAGTATCATTTATTTTTGTAAATTGATACACATGTACATACATCTGCTTGTAGTCATTGGCTAGTGGATCTTAGCTGATTTTTACTTTCTGCTTTGTATCTGTAATTTGAATTTTTTCATAAGTAGAAATACAAATAAAATTAATAATCCAGATTTTTGAGAAATTCTGAAACAGTTAAAATACAGACCTAGAAGTGGATGTGCCTATAGCAGTTGGAGCTCTGTGTCAGTGAAACAGAAAGCGCACATGTCATCCTGGGTGGCTCTGGGGGAGTATTAATACCCAGGTCCAGTTATTCTTACACCAACGAGAAGATATTTAGCAGCATTGGCCTCTCCCGAAGCCCCCAGGGGTACCTGCTTTTCTCTGTGACTGCTTTAATATCAGAAAAGATGTTCATCTTACTCAGTTTTGGTGAAATTCACAAGGCCATGTATAAATTGTATGCTGTGCCCTTTTAAAAACATACATCACAATAGAATACATTATATTCTCAACCTAAAGTAGCTGTTGTTTACCTTTTTCATCCTTTCTCAGAACATCTTATGAAATTGTCTATGGAAGAACTTGTGGAATTTCTTCAGGAGACCTTGGCAAAGGATTTTTTCTTCGAAGACGACTTTGTAATAGAGCAGCTCCAGATTTCTATGGTAGAACTAAAGCGGGCAAAGTTAGACCTTCCAGAACCTGGTAAGGAAATAGCCAGACTCTTTATGTGTAACTTACA